TCCCTGTCCACAAATAGGTCCACAAAGGGAAGAAACTGTAGCCCTGCTAGCGTTTGAATCTCGTCGCCAACGTTGATGTCTCTCGCCACCTTCACTCGATGGTCAAAACTTAGGATCCCAAAGAGTTCTTCTTGCAAAAATGTTATTACAGAATCTGTACCGCCCTTTTCAGTCTGTCTCTTATCTACCTGGCTTAGAACTTTTGATTTCAGTAAGACTGAAGCAGTGCCCCAATTTTGGATTTGACTTCTACTGAGACTGCTGTAGGCCGACTGAATCTCGACCATGGCATTTTTAACGAACAACGAATGTTGTTCGAATCTGGACACGAAAAAGATACCTTCAGTGGACACCCATTGTCCCTTGAAATATTCAGCTGGTAAATATGACGGCACTATTCTTCTTATATCTATGTAAAGTCCACCAAATCTCCACAGTGCAAGTAAAACACTTATTTCATGTACGACTGCCATAAATTTACGACCCATGAGCAATTTCAGAATGGCGGATTTAGAGACAAAATCGTCTAATGGTGTGCCCTGGGCTAACTCAGAAAACAGTAAACGAAGCACTGTTACGTGTTTCCACGACTTGGCGTCTATTTGATCTATACATCCACTGCTTCCACATAAAAATACAACGCGTTTCCCTGGATTTAACTGGAGGAAGGTCCCTATTTTATCCATAATCATTTGTGGAATTGCGGCATAATGCGACCAGACCATGACAAAATCTGAGGTCGCATTTTGATGTAGGCCCAAGTGTTGTGGAACTGCAGTTAACGAATCCTCTTTGTAGGATGTCGATGTAGAAGATTTCGAGCTGCCAGTATTGGCTGGTCTCACAGTCGACATTGCCTTTGTAAACTGGGAAAGAGGACCCTTTTTATTCTTCCGGTAGATGATTTCTGCAGACGTAACGGGCCTGTTCATAGCCACCGAATTGCCACTTGTGTTAACTTTCGCCACTGCTGACGATAGGGCTTAGTTGGAAATAAAGATATAATAATATACTAGTAACACGAAAATACATAAAATTGAGCCTTTCAATACATGAACAATATTGAAAATGTTCTTTATATATATAAAAAGTATTTTCAAATATGCCAAATAGTACATACTGACAATGGAATGTTGCAGGCGATCCTACCAGATTAAATTCTGACTAAGAGCTAAAAAAACAAGTTTTACATGTTACAACTATCTCAATGGTCTTGGCTCCACTGAATGTATCTAATAGGCTATAAATAATTATAAGCTGTATGTTCTTTCGTCTTCTATGCCTTTAATGGCGAATAAAGCTTACATGTGCTTTCAAAACCGTTCATGAATTTGAAGATGTAAATCAACGCCCCAGTCATTAACAGCATTAAAGGTACAAGGGCTTTCCGCTTGCAACAAAAACATCTGCGAAGACTCTCCACCGTAGACTTCATCTGACGGTATGTCATGAAGACAAACGAAGTGAAAAATCCGAGAGAAAAGATCCTCATAATAAATGACGTATCTTGAGCACGGAGCTAGTAGTATGATGTGATTTATTAATAATGACCGCAAATAAGAAAAACTGTATCATGGAGACGTAGCAGAAGACTGCACTTTACTTGTGGTATAATGCATGCATTAATTATGTTTGGAGAGCAGCAAAGAGAACAAAACAAATTAATAATATAAAACATTATTGAACAGAAAATCAAACTGAAATATACGTCAGAGGAGGATCTCGGATTATTTGAAATGGTGGGGGTGGGGGTGGGGGGTGTCCAGATTGGCAAGCCTCGGATGCGAAGCCGACCATCTCCCCCTTGGCGTGTGGTTGGGGCCTGCTCAAGGGCCCCGGGGATTTTGGTGTTTTGGAGTAAAAACGGCGCCCTTTGGTACGGTTTAGAACTATGATTCAGCTAGTAAAAATTCTCTCATTTCAAGAGGGGAATATTGGTGTGATATATTTTCCAGAAACCAAAGGGGGGGGGGGGGGGAGGTTGGGTTAGGACCCCCCCTGACCCCCTTCTAAATCCGCTACTGCATGTGTAACTGGTACAAGTGAAAACCTAGACGTTAACCTAGCAGTCTCCATCACTATTCCCATCGCTTCTCATGACCTGTGGAGAGAAAAACGGTCATTATTAATAAATCACATCAAATTTCAAAACATGTAGGGCCTACAAGAGCCGATGGGTGAGCAGAGACCATAGTAATCATGCAGTTGTCTCAGCTTTCGGTCTTACGTATGCAATGCAGGTGTTGGGATCAAATATTAAAGAAGACAAGAACAGAATAAATAAAATAATTAATTAAAATAATGTAAAGAAAATATACAAAAAGTCGATTCAAATAAAACAAAACAAATTGAAAAACCGCTGCTGGTGAAACCGCTGTCGCCGAAGGAAGGGGCCCCGTATCTCGAAAGCATTGCTTATTGCGAATAGCGATAGATCACATAGAGGCTACAAGGTATTCTATGGCGCGAGTTATGGAATCGAGCCGCTTGCGCACGGTCGCAATGCGCGATGCTTTCGAGATACGGGCCCGAGTCGACTGCGGCAGGGTGACCGCTGTGTCGGTAAGTCGGTGAGAGACCGCTGGTCAACGTCTAAGGCTGCCGGGTAGACCGCTGAGACGAGGGCTGTCAGGAGCCGCTCATGCTGCCGTTGAGAGTGCAGGCCGAACAGTAGAATATGGCAAGCTATATATACATGTACATACATGTACAATATTGAGCTGTACAACTGAGCTGGCAAAATGCGCTTGATTGTAAAATGCGGCTCTACAGGGTGTTTTCAGGGTGTTTCCGGTTAAAGAGGAAGAATGATTTAGCATCGCCCTGAAAAGGCAGTTGTTATTGTGGTGCTCTTAATTATATAACAGTCATAGTTACGATATTTACATTTTAGTATAATTATACAATATTGTGTTAATTTAATACTTGCACAATACCACACATATATATTAAAATGAGTATTGACTTTTTGTATGAAGTACTATATCGAATCACATAATGAAGAGAGAAAGAGAGAGAGAGAGTCTCGCAGTGCTTGTGCCCCATGTTCTTTATGTCTCCTCCATCCCAGTGTACCACAAACTTTCATACTCCCATTCACAACAAGAAAGAAGGCAACAAAGGAAATCAATTGTACGAGATTTGGCCAAACAATGTCGCTTTTATTATATAACCCCAGTATCCTTTTGTTCGATTTTTTAAAAGTGCCTTAGGGGGCTTTTTTAAACAAACGAGCTGATACCTTTTATTCAAGTTTTCGGTCAGTTTACACGTATATGATGAACTGATACACAATTATTTTGCGTGTAATGTACTGTATCTTAAGTATGAATTAATTTTTTTTCTTTTAAAACGAGGCCAAAAGAACAACTGCGGGACCAGTGAGACTTAGCCTCTCAGCACTGATCACACTTGTTTTTCCTACTGAGCACAGCATCCACTGCCACTATAGCCATATCAATATTATGAATTATCAGAGATGTCAGACCAGCCACGTTGGTGTTTGATAACTTTATGTCCACTACCATACCCGTACATTGTAGCCTACGTGCTACCACCAATGCATGCACTCTTATCAAACACATGACTTATTACGTTGGGAAACCCCAGATCTATTTTTAGCCTTCGTCATTGAAGGTATTTGACTAAGAAGACCTTATACTGGGCACATAGGCTACATATGTATTTGCAACTATGATCATGTCGGATGAACTGCCCTAGAAGAACCAGTTACCAAAGTACTGGACGGTAGATAAGATAGGACAAGTCACATGCTAATGGGTGATAATTTAAGACAAAGGGGCAATAAGTGAGTAGGAGACCTATATTTATAGCGGTCAGACTCTGATTAATGAACCTACATGCATGTATAGGTCTATGATGTGATACAATGTACGAACATTAATATGGTTGTAGCATATTCAAAATACTGAGTCACCGTCACTAGTTTTCTGCAGCTGGTTAAAAGCATATTTCATGCTACTGGTAGTCTAACAACACTAAATACGTTTTCTTGGTTTATTTTCAGTCTGTAATATATGTAGGTAAACAGGAAAGCTATATGTGCTGCAAGCCGTATGTTAACGGTATATCCTATCCTACCCCCCCCCCCCCCCACGCAAATATACTTTTCATTAAAATAAAGCAAGTGTCGCCTACCCACGAATCATTTCCCGGTGTAACGAAACTAAGGCTCCGTGAAACAGAAAGTCATTTTCATTATTCGTGAAGGTGAAATTTTGGGACATTTCAGTGAGTACACACTTACACTTATCTTTATATTGACTTACAGACTTCAGGTCACATGTCTGTACGCCATTGATTATGGACTAAGGGGCCATTCAGAATAGATGATCCGGGTACTAACTGATCCGCCGATTACATATGGCCGAAAGCGATACCGCCAATTCCATGATAGTCTCTCCGCCTCCACACGGTGTTTTTTCATGCACTGCACTTGCTATTATTTAAGGGAAAGTTGGATCTGGTATCTTCGATTGAAAAAATATCCGTAATTCAGTTTTTAATGCTATATAGCAATAAGTATTTTTTTAGCAGTGAGCGGGCGGATCAAGATCTAAAAATTGGCAAAAAAATGTTGTACGTTTTATCGTCGTGACCATGCAACGGTTCCTCTCTTAGGGCAGTTAATGCGTACATTCTATAGCAAGTACCCCAAGATAGAGAGTCCGTTTCCCACTCATTTGTACAGATAAACCTCGCCCCCTTGACTTTGACCCACATAGGTCAGGCTAACCCTAACCATTATATCTAAATGGAAGGCGGACTTTCTGTGACACGGACCCTCAGTTTCGTTACACCGGTATTCCTTGAATCCCACGGCAGTAAAATCTAGCTAAACTTTCCTGCCTCGTACTGGATTTGTATCATGCATTCACACGTATCTCATTTTTTTCAGTTAATAGCTAGTACTACAAGTTACCCTAGCTCTGTTACCATGGCAACTGGCGGGGGTCCTCCCAGCGATGGCGGCAGCTCACTCTCCCTGTTCCCTGAGAGGCTAGAGTTTGTCAATATGGACGCCCGTTACAAATGTGTGAAGTGCAATAACATGCTACGAAGACCTCTTCAGACCTCGTGTGGTCACAGGATGTGCGACATATGTGTGGACGAACTGTTTGCTGAACACGGAGACACTGCAGACTGCCCGGGACGGGAAGAAGATTGTGATCAGTTAAGGAAAAATGACCCAAAATCAGTAAGTTTGACATCTCGGTACATTGAGTCTTGATCCAAGCTTTATATTATATTATATTATATTATATTATATTATATTATATTATATTATATTATATTATATTATATTATATTGTTTCTTTGCTGACCGATTACACTTTAGATTGACTGAAACGGGACATGAAATCCACGTCATGTGATACATACAAGTATATTTCCTGGCTGTGTGTTTTTTTCAAGTCGCTGCACACTCTCAGCAGCTGGCTCCGGTCAACATTTATTTAGGTCGTTTCCTCTTTTGGTCTGTGCTGGTATAGATTTTCTTTTTTTCCAAATATGATTAGACCCTTCATTTGCTTGTATATAAATGAAGTTTGTGGTCAGTATATCTGTTCTTTTGTGCATTGCTTCACTTACAAAGTCATTTAATAATAATAATAATAAATAAATTTATTTTAAGTCTAAAATCCATTTAAAATGTTCAGTAGACTTTACATAAAATATCAAAAATAATACTACATAAAATATCATAAATAAAATCTAGGTAAAACAGCCATTATTCCATACAATTAAATGCAATTAATAGAAGATTTATAAAACCAATTAAGAGTTAATCAAAATATTTCCTAAAAAGGTATGTTTTGAGTTCTTTTTTAAAATGTTTGGTAGACTGAATTGCTCGGATTTCCAGCGGTAATAAATTCCATTCCTTTGGACCTGCAGCTTTAAAAGATATATCACCGTAGGTTTTTAATCGCATTTGCTTCCGTCATTATACATATATCTTTTTACTGAATATGTTTTTTATTCTAAACCTTATAAACTGTTCATACCCATATTTTTGCATTTATTTATTTATTTATTCGTTTTCTCATATTTTGTAATTAGAATTTTTGATTTATCATTTAGATATTAAAAGATGCCTGCGTGCGAAGGGAGATGGGCCAGTTAAAGGTTTTCTGTCCTAATAAAAATACAGGATGTGCCGGCGTTTATAAGTGGAAAGATATTAAAGTAAGTAGACTGTTATTTGGTTGGGATAAATGTCTCTTATTATTTTGTCTACAGTTTAGAACTACTACAAGGACATTATGTCTAGAGGCTGATTCAAAAGCCATGACGTGTTATGGAGGCCATAGCTGTTTTGTGTGACATTAGTCCAATATATAAGTGCTCATTTTTGCTGAAAGAGAAGTTATATGTAAATTGAAAAGGCTTATGGGGGTGTGGCTTCCTCTTTGATCCACACACACACACACACACACACACACACACACACCCTTTCCATATGAATGGTGATATTCTGGCTTTACAGGCACAACACTATACCTCTCTTATCAAATATTTCACCTTGATTACATGTATGTCTTTTTAACCCTTTTAAACGTCTTTAGAAACATGTCGAAAGCTGTGAGTACAGACCACTACTTTGTCCCCTGGGGTGCGGTCACGTGATTGCACAGAAAGAACTAGAGCATCACGAGAAGGAACAATGTCCCAAACGGCCAGTCACGTGCCCTAGCTGTGGAACAAATGTGTTATCAGGCGATTTACAGGTGGGATGCTAGCACTAAGATTGTGTTACGGTCGATACTGGTAAATGAGAAACATTTTATAAGATTTTACATGCTGTAGAATGCCTCTGGTTGTAAAGCAATAGAGAAATCTAAAAGGTATTTTATACAAATGTTGACTATAGTTGTGCGAAACAATACGTCTCGATCAGTATTGCAACTGCCAAATTAGTTAACAAAGTTCTTATTTCATATTAAATATACATGTAGGAACATATAGAGGAACTTTGCCTGGAAGCTTTACTTAGTTGCCCTCACTGTGGATCCGGAAACATGAAAAGACTTCAGGTACTGTATGTTCGTTCTGAATCATGTACTGTATATGTGTATATTGTATATTTGTATATTGTATAGTACAGGTATTTCTGTATATTTGTACCGGAGGTAATTCAATACCAACTAGAAAAGCGTTCAGAGAGCGCAGATCTCATTATCTCCTTGGCGGAAGTGATACGCCGTAAAAAGTGTAAACTTGCTGAATTGTTATGGGTTACGTTTGAGTTAGTAATATCAGGTGCGCATTGTCATCATGCTGTATCGATGCTGTAATACTCTATGGAATATAAGTAGTATCCAGGCCGATAGATGTTAGGTCAACAAGGCTTCATTCTAAGATTGAAGTTTAATTCAGGATATGATACTCGAATGTTTCAGTTGGAAGAGCACTACAAAACGTGCAGTAAGATGCCAAGGAGATGCCCCTTGTACCGACAAGGGTGTGAATTCACGGTAATGCAGTCTTGACACAATTACTGTTTTCAATGGCGTGCTTCATTTCTTTTTTTACATTCTTTTATTTTTCTCTTTCTTGAAACCAATTATTATAAACATTCATTGCAAGCTTGTTGAATCAAAACTAGGTAACGAGCCATCCTGAAACGGCTCCTCTGTTTACTTGAGGAGTTCTATGGTTGCTGAAATGCAAAATGGAACTAGAACTGTATACAGTATCATCTGTATTTGCCTTTTTCAGGGAACCAAAGTTACAATCAGAAAGCATGAACATTCTGCAATCAAAGAGCATATTACAATCCTTTCGAGGGCGCTTAACACACTTGATTTCAGTGTTGAACATTTCGATAAGAAGTATCAGAAAGTGAATATAGAAATACAGAAGACAGCCGAAAAACTGAATAAACTTTCATTGGATAATACTGTCGGAAACTTGGAAGACAAAATCAAGAAATCTGAGGTGAGATAAGATTCTTTTAAAAGCTTTATTTGGGATGCTTTTGGTTATAGATAATGTGCATTTTCTCAATAAGATTAGGTGGGGTACTTTTTCAATTAGTGTTTGTGATTGAAACATTTTTGCGACATAACGTTGAAATAAAGTTTTTAAAGTAAAGCAATTATAGGAATATGATCTTGGTATTTTTGGGCGGTATTGAAAACGTATTGCGAGTATCTACATGTGGTCTATCAATATGAGGTCTATCAATATATTTAAACACGGTCTATCAATATGTTTAAACACGTATTTATGAAAACTTTTTCTCTACTTCGGATAAGCCAATTGAACGGATCCCTACATTTCTTGCATTTTGTACAATATTTAGACATAAATAATTGCACTTATATAATTGCATCATTTAAAATCAATATTACGTTTTAGAAATTTTTGGCTGGACAGAGCGCAAGAGTGATGAAACTGGAAGAAACACTTCAGGCGGCCGCCGTAGAAGGCGATGTTGTACGACAGACTATAGAGATTGCCGATATCATGGAGAAGCAGGGAAATCACGAAAGAAGGATTCAAAGATTGGAAAATTCTAATGGTATGTATCATAGAACGTCAAAAGTGCAATTTTGAAATGCATTACATCTCACATTGCAAGCACGACACATTGGCACACGTGAGATAACGACACATTGGCACACGTGCTTTTACATTCAGTTGTTTTTGTTCTAGAAACTACAGTGCATACTTGACAGCATTTTTATGAAACCAATGAGACATTGTAAATTAAGGAATCTGTTACTTGCACTTCCCTTAACATTGCAGAACAAATGCAAAAACTCCTTGCTTCCCACGACCTACAATTAAGACAGCATGAGGACAGAATGTCAGATATAGCTCTTCGTTTCTGCACTCAGGAGTCAACGTCATACGATGGAACCCTTATTTGGATAATCAAAGACTACATCCGCCTGAAACGAGATGCTTGTACTTCACGGACTTTATCTTTGTACAGCCAGCCATTTTATAGTAGCAGCCGCGGCTATAAAATGTGCGCCAGAGTATTCTTAAATGGGGACGGCGTCGGTAAAGGAACTCATCTTTCCTTATTTTTTGTCATCATGAGAGGCGACTATGACGTTTTTTTGCATTGGCCATTTCAGCAAAATGTTACTCTTGCCTTATTGGCGCAAGATGGGAGTGGGCGCCATCTATCGGAATCATTTTGCCCGGAAACAGGCAACAGTAGCTTCAAGTTCCCCACTTCTGATATGAATGTTGCCAGCGGATGCCCCAAGTTTGCCCCACAGAATTCAGTAGAGTCAGAGACATATCTAAAAGATGACACTATTTTTATCAAGGTCGTTGTTGACACCTATGGATTGCAAGAACCATAGGAGTTCTGGGAGTGTTTGTAAGATACAACTTGTACACTAACCTTTATTATATGGAAGATACAGTGTAGTGGTTGCGTTGTGTACGATAAATAATGCTGTTTGTCCAGTATAAAATTTTTAATTGTTCACACGGGAATACAGGTGTGTGTCATCAATAACATTTTTGTTCCAGCATACAGATATTTTGAAGGTATTTTGCAATAATACCAATAATTCTAAAGAAATATCATATGTACCTGTAGGTACGTTATTCACATAAAACGCAGTCACAATTTCTAATTTATGTAATATATATACCACACTGCATATACTTTTCTATGATATATATATATATATATATATATATATATATATATATATAATAAAAGAAAAAGAAGAACAGCAACTTTCTTGCCCCGACCGGTTTCTTTCTTTCTTCAGGGGGTTTTGTTTATTTGTTACTAGGTGATGTCATAAAGGCTTAAATGTGANCAAATAAACAAAACCCCCTGAAGAAAGAAAGAAACCGGTCGGGGCAAGAAAGTTGCTGTTCTTCTTTTTCTTTTATTATATAGATCTATAATATTACTCGTACAGGAAAAACGTTTTCATTTTTAATATATATATATATATAACTTTTAACATAAAACTGTGCCTACAAGCTCTATATACCTATTTTGAAAAAACATCCTTATTTGCATTTTATCGATTTTGATTTATATTGAATATTTTACCTACAAAGAGCCTGTTTATTTGTAAACAAAATCCTTCGTACTTTTAACTTTGGTCGAATAAAACATTTTATTTGTCAAAGTGCACGATTACAGACCACATTGGCGGATTTAGGGGGAGTGTCGGGTTGTCCTGACCTCCACCCTTGATTTCTGAAAAAAATCACACCAATGGTCCCCGTATGAAAACAGAATTTTGACTAGCTGAAGCATAGTTTTAAACTCTACCAAATGCAAAGTTTGCCCTCTAAAATACCAAAAAATTTCTCGACCGTTCAGAAGGCCCTGAACCTCACGACAAAGGGTGGGGTGGTGGGAGGGGCTTCGCATCCGCGGACCCCCCTCCCCCCTTTAAATAATCCTAGACCCTCCCCTGGGCCATGTTGTTGCATGACTGAATTGATATTGTCAGTTTTTATCTTTTGAACTACTGCCGGTTCCAGGATTTTTGCTAGGGGGACCAGGTTGAAATAATAAACCATCTAGACGAAGGCAAAATTGTGCTCCAGCAAACACATGACGTTATTATAATGGCCCGTAAAGGGCCATCATGGTATGGCTTTAAAACGTTTTTTGCTTGCTGGGCTGTCTATATTTTATAGGGGAAAGGGATGAAAATGGAAAAAGTTTATTTTATTTTGTCTCGCGCATGTGATGATGGTTTTTGTGACAAAGAAGGGGAGACGTCCCGGGGTACCTTCAGGGCTTAATAAGGGGCGGGGGCCCTCCCCTCCCCAAACTGCAATAGTAAATATTTGGTCAATTTCAGAATATTATGGCTTCAACAGCTGTATTTTTTATATCTTTTTATAAAAAATGCAAGTATTTCTTGTCTAAATATCCTAAACAGAAAATGCACTGGTACCGGGGGTATATTACATGTATAGACCTATCACATCTCCTTAAGCTTCAGCCAAACGTGTTATATGTTTTATGTTTTTATGTTTATATGTTTTTATGTGTTATATGTTTGTGCCGATTACGTTGCAATTAGAACGTACGACAACTAGCTGTACATTGTTGCTTGTATGGCGAGATACTGTCATAGTACATTCCATTTTATAACATTTAATTTTATGATCTCAGTCAGATCTTACGGGGGATTGGCAACTGTACGCAATGGCCCTGGTAAATGCAATGAGGAAGTCATGTGATCTGCGAGCTAATAAAAACTAGGTCACGTCACGACCTCTTAAGTCAATAGTATAATGCAACGCAACGGAAATGTGTTAGAAAATAGGACTTTTGTTAGCGTATCAGCTTACTGGGGTTTTTATTGTGGCATATAGAATTCGACCTGTTTACGTTAAGCAGCTGAGCAGGTATATGTAAAGGACATAAAGGTATACACATTTTTGTACCTGCAATGATGGTTTAAATTCAAACTAGGTACAGATCGCGCAACAAGATCCCAAGGATTTACATTTTTATACAGGCATATTCACGTCAAAATCCACGATCTCCTCGGCTAAGACGGAATTCTTAAAACAACACATTTGTATGTGATCCTTGTGACCATGCCGTTTTCAGCAAAACAGAAAGATATCCACAGGAAACTGTTAGTTGAGCTGTCTGAAGACATAGATGACGAGCAATATCTTGATAATCTCAAAAAAATGCTGAGTGGAGATATTGGCCAAGGACGTCTAGCAAAAGCTAAGGACTCGTTGAATTTAATGAATACAATGGAGAACGTCGGTTTTTTGGCGGTTGGAAAGTATGACCGTTTGAAAGAAATGTTCCAACATGCTGGTCTTAACGGTCTGGTAACGACCATAATAGACGCCGAGTCGCGTATTAGAGCTGAGAGTAAGTACATGCACAACTCCACGACTGTGTCATTGATTCAGTTGATGCATTTACTGTGTGTAGCAAATCTAGTGTATTTATGGCTATTAGTATATGTATTTTAGGTACTTATAGATTTGTGCACTAGTACCTTGTCCTCTCACCTTCATATTTCTGTATTGATTTTACTTATTATTAATGTATGGACACTAAAAATGAGCCTACTGGTTGTGTCAACATGTCTTTTTGTTTTTAGATTTTTCCGTTTACTTTCACTTTAAGCAAATCCCTTGTAATCTTAATATTCTCCAGTTGGAAAAACCGGATGTATGTAAAGATGAGATATACCGGTAATGCTATGAGGGAACAAACTATATCTGTGTCAATGGCTTATCGACGGGCATGGGTTATCTATAACTAATTTTTGAGGTCAGTGAATAACCTAAGCACTGTAGGATGCCTTATGATTTATCAATGGCCTATTCACTGATAGAACGTTTTTAGATTTTAATGCGGTATTGGCGCACTATTTAGGTCATGCGTTTTATTGTGTCAGGTGAGCTGCTAACTTCTCTGTTTAACATATAGGATGATATTTTTATTAGGACCATCTGTAGAAGTTAGACCGATGGAAGCTGGGACATACGAGACTCCAGGTGCTTACAAATTTGTATTGTATTGTATTGTATTGTATCGCATTGTAAGCACACAATCTTGAACGTACTATAATTTCATACCCACATACATTAAAGGGTTCAAAAATGATGTAGAACTTTTACTTACCAGTACACAACAAGTACCGGGGTAAGAATAGATTGGTGACTGTAGCGTATTAGCCCCAAGTCACAAACATTTCAAAAAGTAGATATATTTTCAAGACCTTCCTCCCCTTACAGCAACTGAAGAAATGATACTCTGAGCCCCATAGAACTACATTTTAAAAATGTTAATTGTGTTTTAGGGCGTCAGAAAGATGCACCAAAGAGGCATCTTTTTAACCCCTCCCTCTGTGATGGTCTTTGTATTTATCGATATTTATGGCACATTTCAGTTAGTGCTGATTAAAAAACGCGAAGATCCGGCTGTTGTTTGTGTTGTTAATGAAATGATATTTGTGATTATTTACGGTTTAATATTTTAGGCCCTGAACTTAGAAGGAAGAGGTCACGTCTTGGTACGGACGCGAGTACAGGTATGTTGCAGTCAAGGTTATGTAGACTAATGTGTTGATAAATTAATGTAATAATAATAATAATAATAATAATAATAATAATAATAATTTTATAAAAAGACTTCTTTTGATTTGTCTCTTGTTCAGAAAAGAATGAAAAAACTTAAACATAAAATGAATAAACTGAAAGTAATCAATAGACAAATAAACGAGCAAGTAGATATATATTTGTGTATAAATGAAACAATAAGTATTTTTTTAAAACTGAAATCCATAGGGCTGTTACAGTAACATGTTGTAAGAGATCAATTCAACAGTTTTACTACAAATATGTAATTCATTCTTTTATCGATTTTGTCCCGTAACACAACATGTACTCAATATATAATAATGTATATAATAATGAAACGATTGTTGATTCATGAGCAGAGGCTCTTGTCGATGTCGATGATCGCACGTCCCTTGTTAAGAAAAGCTCACCCTCAAGGATCCCTCCACCACGGAAACCTATGCTGCTGTTTGGTTCTAGAATATTGGTTCTAAACTAAATAACAGCATTTCAAGTCTGCCTTAATGCGTGGCTACTAAAATATCGATGAGATGATTCTTTGTGTGGAAAAAATACGATATTCTCCCCAAAGACAGTACCATGTGTTCTATTGCCTAAGTGTTTACAAGCGTTGTTGCACGTAAGATTCATCAACAATGAACTTATGAAAAATTTCGTAAAAAACTAACAACCAATCATCCCCCGGGGCCCGGATCCCAATGGATATCTGTGCCACTCTGTTGGGCTTTAATACTGAATAATATAATAATTTGTATAAACGCCAATTGGTCTCTATGCACAGCTGTGCCTTTTCTCAAACTCTATTCCTTTTATTTTTCCTTTTTTGTACTCTACATATACCGTTGTGTTTTCAGTGACAGTTTTATAGAACTCGATCGACATATATGCAGATCTCCTTTTTTCTTCCTCTTCTTCGTCTCCTCGTTATTATTACAGGTTCTTCCTTTGACTCCGAAACCTTTTCGCCGACGCCAAGGTATCCTGTGCAGGTGGCCCCGGGATTTAGTCCACAGCCTTCAGAACGTGTCTACCCTACGGAGATTCTCCGTTGCAGTGGCCTTGTCGTCATCATCAATAATTTTACAGAAGAAAGAGAAGGTACCATTATCAAATAAAAAAATCATTAGATAGGATTTTTAGAGGCTGTCTAACGTACGCATTTATATGTATTTTAAGTGCTCTGCGGAATTATAACGGCGAATGAGGCAATGTTGTGAGATTTTGGTATTAATGTGGTCACGTAATATTGTTTATCTGGCCAGGTGTGATGCGAGCTAGTGTTTTACATGTATATTAAACAGGGACTTTTTTCTATAACATTTACTTGATATAATCGATAAGTAATGTTATGATAGTGACGAGGAGTATGTTGTTATTGTTTTTCTCTCACTTCTGTGCTAAACAAGATCCAAGAGTGTCGTGCATGTTGTCACAAGTGTTACATCAAGCGGTCATGTAATGCATTTTCTAAACGGTACGGGACCGATGTAACACCTTTCTCGCCGAGGCAGTTTTAAAATATTTTTGAAATGACATATCGAGCATAGTGGGACTTGGTTTGAAGCAGATATTCAGCAAGTTTGAACATAAGATTTACGGGTTGAGTTTACATGCACAAAAGTCAACGTTTAATTTGTGGTCTTGACAATTCTCTTACTTGAATTTTTTCTAGGTACCGAGCTTGACGTGAGGCATATACAGAGAGTATTTGATGGTCTACTTCAATACACGGTGCTCACAGGGCCAGGTTACACAAACTTGTCAAGAGAGCTGCTGGACAGCAAATTACAGCACATTAAGGACGTGCTGCAGGAGCCCCCGGGGTACAGCCGTTTCTTTCTGATAATACTAAGTCATGGAGATAAGGTACATTTTTTGGGCAGAATTTATTATATATTAAGGTTTATATGAATGCCATTCATGCAAGCAATGTGAATGTTCAAATGATCAAATTTGTCATATTTTCATGGTTATTTCGAATAGACGAATAGACCAACCAAAATCATTTTCAACATTCCATGCACCACTTATACATTAATTCATCGCATTTTATCAATTACCATTCCTTATCTATTAGAATTATTATTGAACACATCTTGTAGCTAGAAATCTAAACTGGGAATACAATGACGAAAATAAAGATTCAATTTTTGACAAGACTTTAAATGTCTAAGGCTTGGAGTAGGTCATAAAGAAAGTATAGGTGATTTTATCAACGATTTTGAAAATCGACTTAAAACACATTCTTACGTCCGGTGTCATAGCATTGTTGTACATCCAATACTAGTCCATCTAGCATTTCATTGTGTACTTGCACTCATGGTTGTGGATGTTGCACTGAATTACGAAAAAAAAAAAAAAAAAAAAAAAAAAAAAAAAAAAAAAAAAAAAACGCTAAGATTGAAGTTATTACCATATCCTTTATAATATATTGTTTTTTTCTTCAAATATTTGGTATCATTTATTTAATTATACAATATAATTGTTTAAGGATGGAATTCGCACCTGCAAAACTGATGGTAAAACCTGGGACAATAAAATCATAACAGTAAACGAAATAACTGAGATATTCCGAGATACACCGCTCATGATAGGTATACACATCTACAATATCATTAATTACCTAATTTATCTATCTGTTAACTCATTGGTAATTTGCATCGTTTATTTGATACTGATGCTTTCATGTATCTGCGTATTCACCAGTCCGTCACAACAACTCTCTCTCTCTCTCTCTCTCTCTCTCTCTCTCTCTCTCTCTCTCTATATATATATATATATATATATATATTGTTATTTCTACAGACTGATAAATATATTTATAATATAACAGGATTAATATGTTCTGACTATTTTTCTTCAAAATTTTGTAATTTCCATTCCAGTTGTAAGTGTATAATTTGGCGACGTAAGTTCATTTTACTTCCAGACATGCCCAAGGTGTTTATTATACAAGCTTGCCGCGGTGAAGATCATCAGAAGGCGACACTAAGGCCTGATACTTGCCCTGTCGACGACACGGAATACCTCAACTTGCAGATGGAAAATTTGCGGATCCAAATTTCCACGCCAATTGATGCAGATAACTTAGTGGCGTATGCGACAACTCCAGGTGAGTCGGTGGGTTAGAGACAACCGAAAGTCTGTGTAAGCCTTCGTTTAAAATACGCTCTGCAAAATCAAGGCGTCTCAAAAAGGGTACTGAGTATTCATATGGTGAACATTTAAAAACGTTAATAACATAAGATATATATATATATATATATATATATATATATATATATATATATATATATATATATTTCGTGTCTTCAAGTAAAATAATATTCCCAACCCGAATAATAAATGAATGTGTATATTTTAGGTCACATTGCTTGGCGACAGACGGATAGAGGTTCTTGGTTTATATACAACCTCTGTCAGGTGATAGAAACCGATCACAGAAATGAACACTTTGTGGACATTTTGACGGAAACGTCACGACTTGTAGCAGATTTAACAGCGCCTCTAGAGTCAAACGGAATCAAGACTGTTGCTAAACAAATGCCCATATTTGTCTCCACACTGAGGAAGAAAATGTATTTGATTGACACTTAAAAGTCGCATGTAATAATCACATAGAAAGTAAAACCGCCCATATATTGTCAGTTGTGTATGCAAATACGTATTTCTTTTTTTGTAAAATACATACAATACGTATTAGTGCAAGTATATCTACACATCAAGGGAGAAGGGCTTAATGTTTTTGCAAGTTATACTTTACTTATCATCTACTGGGAAAACAGAAAGGCATTTCACTGGATATTCAATTGTGTATTTTACACAGAAATGACATCATCTCATAACTGGCCTCTTAAAGAGAGTAGCTTTAATTCATACTGTTTTACAGTAGTTCAAAATATATCTCTATAAAAATGATTTTTTTTTATTGGGCATTATTTTTGTCGTTAATGTTGCCACACATTCAGTGAAATAAACCGCTACTACCATATAATTAGGCCTATATAAAAGACAAATGGAAGAGGACGCACGTATTGAAGTGCTGAAATGTAATTTTGCATAATATTCAAAGCAATACATAATCACATAATCATTGAGCATATAGAATTTATTAGAATTATATTTGATCCATGGGGCATAACTGCTTGGATATTGTAGTTACATGTGCAAAAATAGTATATTGAAATGTAGTTGATCGTAGTTAAGTTATTAACACAACACAGTATTAGTAGGCTAAAAATTATTTTTTCAAATTAATGATGTAATAAATCCCTATCTGAAATTGACCTGTAGTTCTACGTTTGTCAAAGAGAAAATAAACCTCTTTCCTGTCTTCATTAAAACGTAGGTATAATCTGTGGCGAGTTTTTGTGGAAAGAATCTGTGCCTAGATAGAAACAAAACAAGCTCGGGCCTACCCAAATACCAGACACGGCACATAAGGATCCTGAATTAACCGGTATATCGGACCACACTACCCGTTTTCAAGGTGTGTGTCAGATCGCATTTCGGAGTATCATACCCCAGAACAAATTTTGTAGGACTACCGCGGGCTCATCCTCTCGGTGTTCTGACTGATACTCCGAAATGCGATCTGACACACACCTTGAAAAAGTACTAGGTAGTGTACTATGTTCAGCATCCTTAAAATCAAATAAAAAGAAAATTATGAGTTGTATTACTTTATGTATTAATGATATAAGAGCATTGCCCCTTAATGCAGAGCATCTTATTTCTTTTTAGGGTGGGTAATATTTAACAATAACATAATGTCCGTTTAAATTATACAGACAAATTACCCAGACGTTAAAAATCACTGCTCACCTATCTAAATATTAGAAAGTAAAACAACCAAGATATTTCATCAACTTTGGTCATAAAAAGTTATGGAAAGGGTCAACTTTTAGCAATCCTTTTTTATTTTATATGCTGTCTTTTTACTTCAAAGCAATGCTTGTAATGGGTTATATAGGACGAAGTTTTTATTTGAGACGAAGACACGGAGTATAATTCAATAGACTCTGTGTGATAGAATTGTTAAATCAAGCACCGACCCTTCGCAAGGCCCCCAGTTTATACCCGTTTCCGGACGACTGATAACCTGAGGTTCATTGGGGATCCAGTTGGAGATATAGTCACCGTAGAAACGTGATTATGCGCAGTTGTCTGTTTGCACGAAGGAAACACTGCAGATAATTTATAACAAGCGTTTTTATCTTTTTATGAGATTTGGCGACACTCCGCACGTAGGCCAACTCTTTTCGGGTTCCTTGGTTGTTTCAAGTATCAATAAATTGTGATTATATGAATGACGTAGGTCTGAAACCTGACTGTTTGCACACAAACGATCTCCATCTCTTCTGATGGCAGAGTTACAGGATTCCCAACCCTGTCCTACACTTATACTGGGGGCATCTGAATCTGGGCATTGGTCCCCTGGCCATCCTGAAAAAAAAACAGAAATTTATTAAACACTTCGACTATTTTAGGATAAAGGGTTGTGTATCGCTTTTTTTAAGTAATACATGTAGCATATTACGCTAGGGCAACGCAAGCACGTGCGCACTTACACGTGAACACGCGCCCGCACGTGCATATTAATGGGAATGCGGTGTTATGAAGGTAGGACCTGTTAATATTAAATCACGTAATCTATTGTGTCACTTTTGGCCTCAAACGAAAGACTAAAGATACACACTGAGAATAGTGCAGTGTAAACAAACCTTCGAAATCTAAAAATGTTTGCAATGTGCCGCAAGGATTGTTCGTTCATTATGTAGTAATCCATAAAGCGGATTTTGATTTTGTCAACTCAATATTAATTGATCTGAGGCAATCAAAACACTTCCAATATCTTTGAAGTTGTGTTTGGGGCATAGGGATTATTTTGCAGAAATATCTAAAGAACATATCCTTATGAACATACCTGTGTCGTAGTAGATTACGATGACTCTGAAAAAAGGTTTAAATGAACTGAAATGGCGTGCAGTGTGATTGTCTTATATTATGGTTACTGTTGTGATAATTAGTTATAAAGAATTTCGTTAATTTGAAATAAAACAAAATTGCCTATAAATGATAATGTTGGATGTTAAAGAAAACGTAGTATTTATGCAATGAGTTTTTTCATGGAATGTCATCCTTTGTTCAGAAAGTTTGTTGAAAAATGAAAAAAAAAGAGGTCTAAAAAAGTCCATAGAATCATACGTTATTTTACACTATAAACATGCACGGTAGATATGAATTCGTTCAATAAAAGCATCAGTACCATAGGGGCACCAGGACGTCTCTTGATCGCTGCTACCATGGCTGCTTGGGAGGGGGTCCGTCTTGCTGACACAAACGCCCTCTATGCACCATTTTCCTGTGTCACAATCAGTGCCGTCTGCTGGAGGTTTGTAGCCATGTGTTTAACCGTTGCCTGATCTACACCAAAGGTACTGACAGAAGTCGTGATCTCCTTCTTCCTGCAAAATAAATAAATAAATAATTAATTAATTAAAAATAAATAAAATAATAATAATAATAATAATAATAATAAAATAAATCATTGTGTGTCGTAATCGGCGTGGTGAATTTTCTGACATGTAAATTGTCTAAATTGTTTTGGTTTAGTAAATAAATTTTCACATTGGAGTAAAGTGGTAACCGTAGGGCAAAATTTAAGTTGCTTTCCAATAAATGCAAACATATGCACACACAAGCACGCGCGCACACACATTTTTCATATACAGTCAGGGATACAGAATATGTAGCTTAATTTTAGCTTCATATACAATAGAGGATACAGAAGATAGTACACGTAGCCTTTAGCTGTAAAAAGTGAAAACACGCAGACAAATTGAACACTGTATATCTTTTTTTTTTTTCAAAAAAAAAAAAAAAAAAAAAAAAGAAAAAAAAAGCACGTTTTTGCGCGCACATTTTTCTCAAAAAGAAGAACACTGAGTCTTTTTACCTTCCGAGGTACAGAATTATCTCCGTAGAGCATCCTGCATTGTTCTGTTGCCGAATACAGCTGCCCGGGTAGATGCTGGGTGTGTGAATTTTTTTCCTCAGCATTCCCATAAGTACCGGTGTCCACAAGACAGCACGCATCTCTAAAACGACATGACCACAATTACAGTCTCACTCTTTTATTACCTCCCCCTAGGAGGTTATGTTTTCACCCCTGTTTGTTTGTTTGTCTGTCTGTCCGTCTGTCATGAACGTAACTCAAAAAATTATGGACCGATTTTGATGAAATTGTAAGGAACTGTCAGAAGTGGACCAAGGAACAGATGATTAGTTTTTGGTGGTGATCCGGATCAATAATCAATCAATAATCAAAATCAAAAAACTAAATCATTATAGAATGAAAATTTAGGGGTGAAACGGCATTGGGAAGAGACTTTGCTGCCTTGGCGGAGGTCTGCGCTCTCGGAGTGCTTTTATATTTAGACTGACTCTACTGCATAACATATGTACATGCTGAATGTATTAATCTCGCTTTTTCAGATAATTTACTTCGACGAATTGCAAAACAACTTACAGCCATATCGCAATTACGTACTTAAACCACATGGAATGAACCCTGTGCGTGACCTTCACTGTGACATCGACGTCCGGCAGGAGAACCAAGATCCAAAATCATCAAGCGCCAAAATTCTCGTCAGGAAGTCCATGTCACAGGTATAATAATCTGCATTTTTCGGCTATTATTTATTCTTTTTATTGTGGACCACGTTCATGAACGATCGAGGAACATGTATGGAATATGAATCTACCATGAATTTATATTTGACACAATGGCTACATGTATTATGCAGAAGGCAAAACTACAATAATTCTTTGCACCAAAGGCTACTAAGCCAAGCTTTACCATCGGGAATTTTTTTATTGATTCATAATTCGTAATATTTGAGACTTTCAAACGTAAACCTCAGGGCGAATATTATGCAATAACTTTCTATTTCAGTACGCCCACCCATACTAGTGTAGATTGAATTTCCTCAAAGACGCAGAATATTTATTTTATTTTAAGTTCTATTAAAAGCTCTTAGAATTATTTACCCATTTTATACTTACAAGGATGCCCTACAGGCTAGTAATCTCACCTCTCTGAGGGAGAAAATAGATGTTTTATTTAAGAACTTTTTTACGGTTTAAGATATGTGGTACATGTATATACCCTTGTGATTAAAAGAAAACAGTTCATATTTCATGCAAAATTCAAAACTTTGCTGCATGAAGACGTTACATTCATTGTCTGCCTTTATTTGTGTACGTCTAAAAGAGACTAATATTATAATAATACTTTATTTATTTTAATCGACAGAATGCCCGCATCCTAGAAGCAAGTTACCAGAAGCTGAAACGTAATACCCCTGAAATAATAACCGTCGTTGACCCTAAGGACGTGTGTGTAAAGCTTTTTGCTGATGGGATATTGACATTCCACGACAAAGAGGAGATAGACAAAGGTTGTACAAGATCCACTGTCAATGGGTGCTCCATTTTACTGAATAAAATATTTCTTTGTCCAGTGGAGAAAACCCCGATTCCCAAGCTGTGCAATGCGCTGCGCGAACAGAACTGTAAAAGAGTGGCAGACCTCCTCGAGTTGTCGTTAGATGACATTGAACCAAAAGAGACTTGACAATCTTTGAAAAATGAGCTTTGTCCAACGATGGATGCACGAGATAAATTCTAATGGATAAATGGGCAAAATAGTAATTAATTTCAAATTTGTTTTCAATAGTATGATAATCTTTAAATAGTCTTTTTGTATGTATGCATATGCTATCCAATTTTATGTTCGTTTGGTTATAGTGTTGCAACTGTGTGCCTAGTTACTTAAACACGCTAAGTATTATGCATTAAATATTTTCCCCTTTCAACGAGGAAGTTTTTTAAAGTGCTGGATCTTGTACTTTCCCAAAACCTCCCCTTTTTCTCCCCGGGCTAACGTGGCTCTGACTCATAATCTCTGGAGATAACGAGTCAGAGCTCTGGCTACAGGGTGCTCATACTTAGACTGGGCTCCCATGCCTAAATCGATCCATCTGGATCGATGTATCTCCC